CAAGGAACTCATCGCTAGTGCAGGACTTGACTTGTATGATGTCGATGAAATCGTTTACGTTGGTGGATCCGCTTCTCTTCCCGGATTAGACGAGACTCTCGCTCAAGGGTTCTCGGAGAACGTTGTTACCCCCTTCACTGCTGGTACTGTCGTCGGTGGAGGTATTGGTGATCCCACTACTATCCTTGCTCGTGGCGCTGCTCTTCAAGCCAAAATCATTGTTTCTTTACCAGAGAACACGGATGAGGAGAAAGAGGTCAAGTTGGCTTTCACTGGCCATGAAGGTAGCGAGTGGATTAAAACCAAAGCAACTAGCAAATCTCTTGGTTTGATCTTCCCGGAGGAAAATGCAGAGGGTTCGTTGGGTGGTCAATGGGTTCCTGTTATCTTGAAGGAGACTGCTGTTCCTGCTAGGAGGACCGTTCAAGTTGACGTTGATCTCGGTGAGGCAAGTGGTGAACAGAAAGTCGGGTTTGAAGTTGTGGAAGTCAAGGAAGGTATTAAAATCGAGAAGGAGAAACCTCCTAAAGTCGAGTATGATGATGATGATGAAGCCCCAGAGGAGGATGAGGAAGAAGAAGAGATCGAGGTTAAGGAGAAGACTATCGAGAAGGAGTCTGTTCTCACATCTTTGAGCTTTGTAGCTAAGCAAAGTAGACAAGAGCAGGGAAGATGGAGAACAACGGTAGAAGTTCAACTGATTGTTGGAGAGGATGGCAGACTGGAGGTTAGTGCGTGGGAGGTTGCAAAAGATGGCAGCAAAGGCGAGAAGGTCGTTACCACCGTTGCCGCCGCATAGAGATCCTCAACATGACATTCCAAAATAGATCTTGTAGCTCCTCTGTAAGTGAGCTGTTTGTATACCGTGATGCTTATATACGTGTTGTATGATCTTCAGACCCTCATGCCATGAATACGGAATTCTGAGAGATAACGTTAAACGTTATGTATTATGCATTGACAAATATTATGTTTCAGCTTCTACCACTGAGGTCGTGACTTTCAACCTTCATTCAGCTCACTTCCATAGCGATTGTTTCGCAGAAGTCAAGAAAGATGGAACTCCCTAGTGAGTAACATTTTGTTTCTTCCCCTACCATGTCCGCTGACCACGGTAAATTCTAAATGCTCAATAGATAACGTACAAGGGACTCACTTGTATCCCGTGTGATAAGTAGAGTCGAGTCAACAACAAATCAATTTGAATTCTTTTCTTCGCAGAGAATTTCGTTATCTACATAACCATAATGTCCCAGTGAGTCGACGTATTGAGCCCGGGGTAAATGATTAATATTACGTTCAGAGCTCTAGAGTCTCCCAAGCGAATTTGATAAATGATAAAAAGAAAACAATGTCGTTGGAACTCGGACCTCAAACAACTTCCTACTTCCCCTACACAGTTACTCATCTAGTCATACAACGATGAACATTGCAATGACGATGTCGAAACCAGATCTCAGACACCATCTCTCCTCTGAGGTTCTATCCCGGAAGGAAAACCCGATGAAAGTTGTTCAAAGACTGTCAATGCGAAACTCGAACATGATCAGTCTCGCTAACGGTTTGTTCAAAACCTTTTTTTTTTTTATCTCTCGTCTCTTTTTCATTTAATTATAAACGTAACTGACTTTTCACTTTTTGTTTCTTTACAGGAGATCCTCACTTTTCTTTGTATCCTATTCGGAAAGTCAAATTCGAAGTGACCCCTGTTAGTGATGAAGTAGAAGATTCATTCATGTCATGGCAAAATCCCAATTCGCCTTTCGTTTCATTCTCATCATCACGATCCGACGTTTCCTCAAAATCTCTCTCCTCCGAGTCTATACCTTTGAACGCTGCACTTCAATATCATGGCGGTACAGGATCCGACGCATTCGTTCACGCCATGGAAGAACTTACAAACTATTATCACAACCCTCCAAACCATAAATGTCTCAATACACTTGGAAATATGGATGGGATAGTCAAGTGTTTTAGATTATTGGCTAACCCTGGAGATAACATCTTAGCAGACGAATTTGCTTTTGGGCCTCCTACGAATGCAGCTTTGTCACAAGGAATTAATTGGGTTCCTGTTAGGATTGATAAAGGAGCTCTCATACCAAGTGATCTCGAGAAGGTACTCTTCGACTGGGACGAAGAGACCAAAGGTCGTAAACCTCGCGTACTCTATACCGTACCGTAAGTGATTCCCCACTGTCTTGTTTTTTCATCTTCGGTTCCATCGTCTCAATAATGAATTAATGAATTCCACTTTTACAAAATCAGTTGTGGTCAAAATCCAACCGGATGCACGTTGAACTTGCAACGAAGGAAAGAGATATATGCAATTGCTTGTAAATATGATCTCGTAATCATTGAAGATGGTACGTACGCACTTATATCTAGCCCAAAAGGCAGGATTTTTTTCGGGCATGTAGTCAGTAACTGAAAATAAATCTTCACAGATCCGTATTACTTCTTACAATATTCAGATTCAGATGGTGACGCTGTTCCTAGTAACTTGATGCCCTCTTTCGTATCAATGGACACTGAAGGTCGTGTGATTCGCGTCGAAAGGTGAGCTAGTACATAATACTATGACTCACTTACAGCTGACCCTGACATAATACCCAATCAGTTGCTCAAAAACTATAGCCCCCGGTATGCGACTAGGTTGGGTCGTTTGTAGTCCCATGTTCTACGAACACATGTTACACCTAGTCGAATCTTCAACTCAATTCTCTCATGGATTCGGACAAATATTTCTTTCCGAGATGATTTCGGGTCCTCAAGGATGGGGAGTCCTTGGTTTTGATAGATGGGTACAAAGTCTTCGAAAGGAATATCAACGTCGTCGAGATCATTTCCAAGTCATTTTTGATCGTGAAGTAGCTTCAACTGGTTATGCTAGTGCTGAAGCTCCTGAAGCAGGGATGTTTTTATGGATTCGTATTCATTTGGATAAACATCCACGATTCAAACTTCTTCCGAGTCGGACGGCGGATTCGAAGAACGGTCTCATTCAAGGTGTTCCTACTATCTATGGAAGAAAAACGAACTTTTTGGAGTTGATGGATGAGTTCTTTGAAAATTGCTTGAACGCTGGGGTTGTTTTAACACCTTCTAGTGTTTTTGCTCTGCCTTATGAATCGTCGCTTTTTAATACCGATGATCCTTTGGAGGATGTAAGTTTTTCAAGTTTATTTATCAAGCGAAAAGACGTGAGACTAATGTGATAGTTTGTCATTATTACAGAGGATTAACTATGTTCGTGCCACCTTCGCTGGCCCATACGAGTCCATGGAACCTGGTCTGAAAATCGTAGGGCAGGTTCTCCGAGATTTTTTCTCTTCGAACGAATGAGAATATGGAAATCTATCTCAATGTCAAGCCTATTTATTCCGTCACACGTATCAATTGATGTACGTATCTACCGTATATATGCATGTATCACCCGAAAAAACCACACTTTCTTCAGAACCTGAACGCAATGTTTCACGCTGCTTTCGCTTTCTGTAATACATCAGCCAACTCCAAGAATGAATCAACCACAATATCGACCTTGAACTCTGGATCACCGTTCGGGTCTGATTTCAGGGTGACTTTGCTTCTGATTTCTTCAGTATCTTCAGTTACCCTTCGGACATATGCTGTCTTCATTCCATAGCTCTCCGCAGCCTTAAGATCGTATATGTGTGCCGCTACCATCAAACACTTGTCTGGAGATACAGCGGAACGTTTGGCTGCCCCTAGGTACATCTTGGGATTCCTGGAGGTTATTCAATTGTAAATATAAAGATAAAAACTTTGAAGACTACGCCTTTAGGGTTAACTCACGGTTTGTAGGAACCAAGGATGTCTCCGGAGAAAATAGCATCCCATGGAAGATCTGCAAATTTTGCCTTCATGTTTATGAAAGTGGTCACGGTGAGAGCTGAGCATGATTCCGAAAGCCTGAGCATTTATGGTTTTTTGCACGTACCAGGTCTATCAACAATCGCGCCGCTCCGTTGGACAATGTGGCAATTATTGCTTGTTTCTTGAGGGCATATAGTCCAGCTGTAGTGTCGTCCCAGCCTACATATGGATGCGTATTAGCTCTGACGATTTCAGATATGAAAGGCATGCATATCTCGGGCAAACCTTTCAATTTGTGCCAGTTCAATGTCAACTCATGTCGTTTTGCGTCGTTCAAACCTGCCGATAAGTCTGTCCATTTGGGTGAGTCAAGCATTGTGTCTAGAAGCTATTCATCAGGGTGATTGTTAATTTTTAGGGAGAGGGTCGTGCAGGCAAATGAGCTTACTTCGCGATGCACGATGTCTATATTCGTTGACCCTTCTGCACCCTGAGCTATTTCTCGCCTGATAAACAATTGAGAAGCAATATCACCGTCTAGGAGGATTTATCACTCACGTTCGTCTCATATAACCTGCTCTCCATTCTCGTGTAAACTCATCCCAGTCTAGATATGTATCATCAAATCCCCGCTTCATTGTTAACTGAACGTTGTGAAGGATCAAATATTTCAACCTCTTACCTTCATCTCCACGACCAATTTTCCAAGTCTTGGCCTGTTCCTGAAGTAGCTCTGTCACACTTTGCCTCCAATTGACTACTGTCCCGAAGACATCGAACAGTAGTGCCTCTACTCCTTCAACGGAAGACATAACTCCCAATCACTGTCACGGTTGGTCAAGCAGGGAGAGAATCGTTAGGGCCCGGGATCGATTTTCCCTTACCACAGCCGTTTTATAGACTTGACCTAGTATTTATAGAGAAATCGAGTGCTCTACTGGGAAATATTCATATCCGAATCATGTTAAGGCTCACATGATTAGAATTCCGTCAGTCCGAGGAATCGATGCCCAGGAAACATGCAAAGGATAGCGCTAATTGCTACTAAATACAGGCCACCTTCGTATGCACGGGTTTTTAAACATAGATATAAGTGCGATAAGTCGGTACGATATCTGAGAATAAGATGCATAAAAAAATGCAACATCTTCCATTTTACATGCCAGGAAGGTGGATTGAACACCTGACCTGCAGAAGAAAGTCACAGCATGAGCTGTTCACTTCAGTCTGTCGCTCTCCCAGCTGAGCTATCCCGGCATTATATTTCTATATTTTTCATCATTTCTCCACGACATATCGGATATTTTCCAAATGTATGTAGCTTGAATGTACCCATACAAGGGATAAGTAGTAGTACAATTGCATTTCGACATTATCCTGGAGTTCAAACGATACTTCCCTCTAGTAACCATTCCACACACAAGCCATACCAGACCTTACTCAAACCCTCTCCCAGATATACAAATAAGCTAACCTCTTCAAATCCCTTACACTCTCTTTATCAGCCTTGACAACCTTCTCATCATTGAACAAAACCCAATCTTCACCCTGACGAATATGTGCAACATAATGTCCTGAATGTACACTGGGACCTTTATGGGATATGAAAGCATTTAATTTGAATCGAGCTGGAAGTATTGAAGTTCCTCCAGTTGAAGATTGAGAGGAAGAGGATGATTGAGAGGTAGATGGGGCCGGTGCTTCTTCACCAGCATCGTCTGGGTGAGAGAATAACCAATCGACGGCTCGTTCGGGGTCACCACCCTATTATGAAACACGAATGATCCGTTAGAAAGAGATACTGGACAACGTGGGCGAGAACTTACAGTCTCGCGTAAAGCTTTCTTAGCTTGAGCAGATGTGAATCCCATATCCGCCAACATCGCAACTTGTTCCACAGGTGGTTCAGGTAAAGATGATCCCGATCCAACAGTTAATTGAATAGGAGAGTCGATGTCTACCAAATAGGAAATGTGAATTCACGATCAGTAAAATTGTCACAGATACGATAATAAAAATGACGCACCAGGATCATCCATATGTTGGAACAACCATTCCATAGCCGAATTCATATCGGTCCCAGGAACATTGTTACCTGGTCCAGTAGCTAACAAAGCTTTCTGAACTCGAACAGTAGGGAATCCCATTCCTTCTAATTGGCCCACGACTTCTGGGTTGAATTCAGGTAATGACGCTGATGTTGAAGAGTCTTCTTCGGGTAAAGCAGTTTCGTTAGGTTGAAGACCTGTACCGAGGTATGCATCTAAGGTGAGGATATCATCTTGAGGGAGGTTAACTGGGATATCTGTTATGCGAATGAATAGTTTAGAGAACGAGGAAATTGTGTTGAAAGAGAAGATATATACCGAGTTTCGAAGGAACCCAGTTTACGAGTTGGAATTTTTTAGCGTGGAGAACGAGCACATCAGGGAAACTGGAAAATCTCGATTGTCTGCAACAAGAAATCAACGTCACAACCAAAAACAAACGAAAGGAAGACGATGGGATTATGAGGCTTACTTCGTAGCGATGACTTTCTTCTGGCATCCAGGACAGGTATACTCCAAAGCTTCAACACCCATCAGGATATCCAAGCAGTCCTTCAATGCCACGTCCTGATACAAAATCTTTCCTTCTTCATCCTTACCCTGCTCCTTCGCAGGGACAGGAACACTAACAACATCCATACCATCAACTCTGTACCTCACTTTATGACACTCCCCGCATTCAAGTCTCTGTTCCATGCCGAACTTGAAAACATCCGTGGGATCAGAAGAGGGAGATGATTGTTTCTTCAGATGCTTCCGAAGTGAAGATAAGAGATAAGTCAAAAACTCTTCTGAATCCTGTTGACGCATGGTCGAGAATTCTTCGTGTCCTTTTCCTACCAAACTCTTGAAGCCGCTAGGTTTAATTCCTTCTTGGAACACGGGAGTGGGAGAGTCGTGTGCGAGAGGATCGGTTGATTTAGGGTCACTTGAAGCAGGATTGGGAGACGATGGGACATTAGACCGAGGATGAGAATATCTTCCTGACAGAAGTCCATCTGCGAGTTTGTGCATTTGACAATCGAGACAATCCGCTGGAAGAGGTACTTGACAGGCTTTGAAATGGTCCTGAGCGGTTGGGTAGTATCGAGTTTGGAAGGGTGTGAGGGAGAAGAGGGTCTGAAGGACAGACGCCATGTAACAACTTTAATAAAGACGATTAATACAGAGTGGCATGAGGATGGCAATAAGAGGATATACCTGTTTCCAAGATTGGAGAGACCTGTGAGGCCTGGTCCAAAAACTGGTTCGAGAGCTTTACCATCTTCGCCCGTCAGAGAGAAGTCAAACTTGAGATTATGCTCGATTTGCTACATAGAGGGCCATCAATAAAAGACATGAATGTTGACAACAGGATTAAGCTCACCAACTCGGTCATGGACTTCTCCGTCTTAGTTTGAGTTTGAACGTTGATTCCGAACGTAGCCAAATGAGACGCAAGTTCAGGATCAACTTTTGCATCGTTACACGCGTAACAATAAATATCTGGAACGAATGGCAGTTGAGCACACTTCGTGGAGAGATGTATGCGGGCTTACCAGCGTTTCCTTCAGGAGTGATTGTTCCCAGTTTGACACTGACAGGATGATGGCTTTCCTCATAGTGCTCAAGGCCATGTCCGTTTCCACCTACCCCTCCAAATTGCTTTCTTCCACAACCCAACGAACCGCAAGTCAGACAAAGCCAGAGATTCTCTTTCAAATCACATTTGCTACAATGTGCAAGACCTTGGACGAGTTAAGTGTATATCCTTTGATTCTCGAGAGTTGAGAGAGAATTCACCGGAAGCAGCAATATGACCAGTAGCAAATTGTTCCAACATCAAAGTATGTTCACAAGCCGTGATTTCTTCTTCCCAAGCTTTAACTTCAGATTGCCTGGCGGAAGAAAGACTTTGCATGACACCGTCAATCAACGACTTCACTTGAGTATCATTGGATGCTGAAAGTTCCGGGAGCTCTTTTCCTGAATCTGGGTTACATTTCCAACACTTGATCACAGTTTTATGTTCGTATTTGTCTTCCTCTCGATCGGCTACGATCGCTAGTTTGGTCATTTTGGTGGGAGGTTCTTCGTCTTCGCCCTGATGTAAAAGTTTAAATATATTCTGCCAGTGTTTTATAAAGAACTGTAAGTAACTCACGCGATTCGAAGATGGTCTGAGTTTTCTCTTGACATTGAGAGTGAACGCGTGTCCACTCTTCGCGGCATGCAATCTTGCATGACCTCTTTCACGATCAAGACATCCTCCGTTGAAGCAAGTTAAACAAACATCGATACCCAAAGGCTGGTCCTAAGCAAAACAAACACCCGAATAGTTGAAGATTCGACTGGTTAGTAAACGCGCCCATCACGGAAAGGTCACACCTGATTGTCAAAACATTGAGTACATTCTTCGCGATGAACAGATTGAGAAAGTCTTGGAGGTTGGAGTTGATGGATTTCACCGACGTGAGGGCACGAAGACATGACGATGATATTTATGATTTAAGATGCACTGAACTGCGAGTTGTAAATTCAGTTGAAATACTAGGTTACCTATCGGCAAGGAGACTAACTTTTGCGTCGAATACGATTTACTTTCCAACAACTTGCTTTGAGTGTATTTATCGAAATCCCAGAGTGGAGGTCAAGTGGAGGTAGTGGTGAAAGACGGGATGATGATGCGCAAGCACTTAAATTGAATGCATGGTGATTAGATTAGATTGCGCATAATCGTCGGACGTCCCTCAGATTCAATTTTCAACACACGACGAGATGACGGGCATTCACAAATTATTCTGTAAGCTAACTACCATCCTACCAACAGCCTGAAACAACAAGAAAAATTGGAAAAGAAATACAGAGCGAGAGTGTTAACTTGGGATTGATCACATTGATGAGCTTGGTTACAGTTGTGACGATGGAAAAGAGGAAACGATAAAAGAGAGTAATGAAAGAAAGCAGCGTACAGAAAGGAAAACCGAGCGAAAGAATTATGCAATTGTTTTTGAGGTGGTTGCTGTCAGTAATGCAGAAAACTATATTTGTAGAGGGAGCAAAGGTAGCGGTGGGGATTTGAAGAGGAGTTGAAATGAAACTACTGTTGCTTGCACTCCTCAGGCTTTACGTTCTGGTTGGCAGCTCCACCACGCCCCTTTGGAGGACCACGTCTTCTGGTTGGGTACTCGTTATCGGAATCACTAGAATCCTCCAAAAAGTACAGTGTTGTTAAAACTTTGTAACTCCCAGGGATATCTAATATGAACATACCTGGTCCTCGAATCTATCTTCGTCGTCCTCATCGTCATCATCAATGTCCTCGTAATCCTCATCATCCTCATCCAAACCTTCCAATTCTAAAGCCTTTCCGGTGAACCAATCAACAGCTTTGGGGATGATCTGATATGTCATCAAAAAAAATCAGTATTCGGCTATATAGAGATATGGCTTAAGCGGCATTACCTTCTCCTTCAGATCTTCACCGATCTGATAGTCAATCTCGAGCTTCTCGTCAAGCTCATCGAGCTCTTCCTCATCCAACTCGCCAGTCTCGAGAGCATCCTCAGCGGGGGGAACAGGTGGAGAGAAGAAGTTGAAGAATGACTCTGTAGGACGAGCTTTACGAACAAGACGGGTGCGGTTGGTGTCTAATAACGTGACGAATGGATCAGAATCCTACTCAGTGAAGTGATTAAAAAATAAACTCACTTTTATTACGTTGCTTCTTGATTTCGAACTCTTTAGTTAAATCCTTATCCTCTTTCCACTTGATTTCTGTTCCGATGGCGCGATCATAGACGAAATCACCAGAATAGCCGACTTCTTCCTGGTAAAGATAGGTCTTTTCGAGGGTTTCATTCTCAAAGAACTCGTTAGGGGTGAAGACGAAAGTGAGCTTGAAACCAGGTTTGGTATCGGAAGGTGGGAGGTAGTCGATGCGGACGTCAATAAGATGTTTCAAAGCATCGGCATCGCGATCAGTGATAAGCTCGTTGAGACCAGGGTGGTTGCGCAAAGCGGTAAGCCAGAACTCAGGAATACCCTCTGCGTTAGGCTCCTTACCCTCCTTCTCAAGGGGAGTGTATGTAGGATCATCTTTGGCAGATGCCTTCTCACCAGCCTCGATCTCCTCTGCAGTAGGCTTTTCTTTGCCGATGATGATAGCATGTCGACGTTCGTACAATGGTTTCTGAAGTTCGGCATACTGTTTTTAGATAGAATAAATAT